GAGTTTTAGGTTCAAACACACAGCGAGAGAGACTCAACCATAACATGATGATTTGTTTGACTAAAACCTTTTGGGGCTTCTGTTGGAAAACGAGAGCAAATTTTGACAAATTCATGTTTCAAGTTGATGCACTTAAACCTGAAATGATTGGTGCAGAAACACGTCCTGCATTTAAAACGCTGCTACTCACCAATAATCCAGCTGCTATACGTGCACTTCATAAAGAGGAACAACATGTTTAATGAGTTCTTCGTCATACGTTCGTGTGTTTTCTGCAGAAACCCGTCGCTGATTCATTTTTTAGAAAAACGGACATTCGTTGCCGCAATCGAGGTTTCGTTTTAAACACCAGCTGCAGAGAATCAGTCAGAACACGAGGATCTTTGTTTTAGTGCATCAGACAGGTGGCTGATACAGAAGCATACATACACCTTGTAAGTCCAGTCCTGACCCAATAATCGACCCTTAACGATCCTAAACCTGCTATCTGACAGGATTTTAGGAAAAACCAACAGAACCCATTAAAAAAGCCCTTAACATACCGACAGCCTTGTGACTCTGACATGACATTTAATGTCACCAATCAGGATGACGGCGTATTATCTGACTGAACAATCCCACAGATTGGCTACGTTCACACTGCAGGACTTGATGCTCAATGAGGATTTCTTTGTGACTTCCTTCACGTTTCCAGTTCAATGCGACTTGTATGTGATCTGCTGTGTGAACTTCATACGAGCCAAAAGTGTCCCGCATGCGCAGAAGAGGACACGACGACGTCACACGCAGCGAGCGTGCTCAGTGTTTATGGAAGTAAACATGGATGGTAACGGTGGAGCGTATCTGCCACTCCCCCGCCGCCACCGATGGAGGAAACAGAAGTGTGAGCGCTAACTAAACTAGCATCAGCAGCCAAGTACTGCCTGTGTGTTCTGGACACTTCCACCCTGTTGGAGCGCTGCCCCGGGGTGGAAGTGTCCCCCGACCGCACCGAATGTTCTGATATTCATCATTAATTGGGCCTGAACATCCAGAGAGCAGAAAGTTCTACTGGGACCAGTCCTACTAGTTATTATAACAACTATGAACAATAATTAACAACTAATGATCCTTCCAGCATCAAGCCCTCCTTGTATCTGGACCTCCGTCTGGACAATCCGACATAAAAGAAGGTTTTACATTTAGTGTCGGATCATCGAATCATAAATTTGTAAGATAACTAATCAAAGTAATTCTGCTTCTGTGTTCTGGTTCTGACTGAGTCCTGCTGACAGAAGACGTCTCAGAGTTCTCTCTCCGTCTTCATGTTGTCGTGTTTCCTGCAGTTTAAATGATCCACAGTGAGTAAAAACACCAGAAGCTGCTTCAGGTCTGGTGATGACTGCAGAAACCCATTCAGTCAGATCTGGTCACACGTTGACAATCAGCTGATTGTCAGACAGACGCGCCGCTGAAGGCCTTAAAGCGACATGAAGCTCTTCACTCTGTTGTGTTTTCACGTCTGAGATCTGTTGAAGGTTTCTACGTCTGCTGCAGTCAGAAGCAGGAGAGCTCCCGCCGTGTTGCTCAACCCTGAGCTCTGCTGGTACCCGTCGCTGTTGTTCTGAGCCGATGTGTCGGGGCTTGTGCCGGCTGAGGAATGCGAGGCTTGTCTGAACGCGGGACCCGAGGTGTGTTTCTGGCCTCGGGCTGCCTCAAACGGAGCCTGTGCGGCCGTCCTCCTCCTCAGCTGCCACCTCCCTCCGTTCTATCTTTATCTGAGCCTGCATCAGGTTTTCAATGCAGCCTCCTCCTCCTCCGACACGCTGGCAGCTCGCTGTCACCTCTGGGAGGCCGTCTGGCCGGCCGGCGGTGTCGGAGGAAGGCAGATAGGGAAACAAAGAGCCTCTCTGAGATGCTATCTGCTGCTCTCATCTCCTGCCTTTATCTGCCTTTCACTGCTTCGCCGCCGCCGCCACCGTCCTGCAGACGCTTGACCTGAGGTCCAAGGAGCAGGTTGACTGGCTTATCTGGATTATAACTCCGCCGAGTAAATCCCAGAATCCGCTCAAATCTGGAGCCGATGTGCAAAGATTTGCCTGGAAATCCTGGGAGGCAGCCAGAGCGCCCAAACTGCAAAAGTCTGAACCCGAGATCAGGTTTCAGCGTCTGCAGGAGGTCGCTGCCCGTCGCTGGCTCCACCTGATAAGACCTGATCCCAGAGCAGCTCCACAGTTTACTCATTTATAAAGTCCTGCAGCTCCGTGGAAGGAGTTTCTGAGTTCCCTCAGAAATGTCTCTGTGATGCCACCAATCACAACAAAATGAAAACAAAAGCTGAATTTCTTTGATTATTTATGAAAAATAAAAAAAACTGAAATCATGTCCAACCAAGTGTCCAAATGCAATATAAAGAATAATCATCCATGTTTCTGGATTTTATTCCCCCAGTTATTGAAATGTTCAGTTATTTTTATGATAATACCTGCAGATATTTCACTGTCGTCCTTGTTAGAAGGAAAACATCTGTTTTTGTTCTGAAATCGTTATATTTTTTAATCTCACTATTAAACACAAATAAACACCAAAATGAAAGAAAAACTATAAAATCATCAATAATCAATATGAAATAGTTTTTTTTTTAAATAAATCTATTTTAAAAAAGAATATATATATATATATATATGTTCTTAAATTGTTGTTGTTGTTTTTTAATGAATCTCGCTGTAAAACACATTAACACCATAAAATAGCAACAAAACAAATAAAAAAACAAACGAATCTCTTCCTGTCTCGGGTTGTGTTTGATCTCTAAATCCAGAGACACAAACAAACGGCTCTATTTTAATTTATTTGAAGCTAATCGATCAGGCCGACGATGAATCATTGAGCAGCTGCTGCTGAACGTGAAATGAAACCGACTGACGGGAGACGCTCGGCGATCCTGCGTCTGATGCAACGCTGAGTAACCGAGTGTGAATCTGAGCGACTGGCGTGTGCGACTGACCCGCTGAGTGCAGCGTCGCAGACACACAAACCCCCTCCTCCCTCCCTCCCTCCCTCCCTCCATCCTCGCTGCCAGGCCTGTTGCTAGGCGACGGCGAGGAAGTGATGCGAGCGCGTGAGGCGGACGAGTTTCCACTTTCTCGCTTTAGCAGCTGCTGCGACTCGGAGTTCAGAGACGTTAGACGTCGGGCTCCAGGAGAAATCCTGATAACCGCTGCTGTAGAAACGCTTTAGCACCGAAAAGCAGCTGAATTCTGCAGATTAAATCGGATTTAATCGGGTTTTTCTGCTTTTTAAATCGTTTTCGCTGCTATTTTTTGGTGCGTTTGTGTGTTTTGTGGTGAGATTTGTGGACGAAACAACAATTTCATCAGAGTTATTGAGGATTTTTCTGATTTTTCTTCGTTTTTGTTGCTATTTATTGATGTTTGCGTGTGTTTTACAGTGAGACTTATAGAAAAACAACCATCAAATAACTGCCCGGAAACTCCAGAGTCAAGAAACAGCCTGTGTGATTAATAAATAAATGAGAGCAACCGAGCACACAGCTGCAGATCAGGACACTTATTCTTTGCCTTGCTGCTATTTATTGGTGTGTTTGTGTGTTTTATGGTGAGATTCATGGAGAAACACAGCAGCTTCATTATAGTTATTAAGGATTTTTGGTGTTTTTTCTTGGTTTTCTTGCTATTTCTTGGTGTCTTACGGTGAGATTTATAGAAAAAAAACACCACTTTCATAATAAAAACATCTATTGTTTGCTTCATTTAAAGGCTACTACTAAATATCTGCCAGGATTATCTTATAAACTTATCTGAATACTCAAAACTCTTGGAAAACAACACTGTGAACACTGTGCACTCATTTAGACAGATGTCAGGAGGGATTTCTTAGTTTTTTCTTAGTTTTTTTTACTATTTCTTGGTGTTTATGTGTGTTTTATGGTGAGATTCATGCAAGAACACACCACTTTTATATCAAAATCGTGTATTTTTTGCCTTATATAAAGGCTACTACAAAAATATTATCATATAAAATGATGGAAGATCTGAATAAAAAAGAAAAATAATCATCATTATGAACCAGATAAGAAAAACCAACCGTCTGCTTTCAGGTTAAACCTGCAAAACACTCACTGAGACAAAGATTTGGCAGGATCTTTTTTTTGTTTTTCTTTGTATTGTTGCTATTTATTGGTGTTTTATGGTGAGATTTGTAGAAAAAACACCACTTTCTTCATAAAAACATCTATTATTGGCTTCATTTAAAGGCTACTGCTAAATATCTGCCAGGATTATCTTATAAACTTATCTAAATACTCGAAACTCCTGGAAAACAATAAAGAAACAGCATTTAGAATTAATCTACAACCGACACTGTTCATATTAAAACACTCATATCAGAGAGGATTTTAGTTTTTCTTTGTCTTGTTTCTATTTTAATCAATAAAATCTCTCCACACACTGATGCTGCATTCCTGTGATGTTGTTTTTTCCAACAAACCCAGTTTTCTGTGAATGTAGTTTGAAAAACGCGTCCGGGAACCTTTGATTGCCGTCGTAGAAAAGTTGTAGCGTGATGCGTTTGGGTTCCTTTGTTCTGTTTGACGTGGCAGCGTCGCCTCATGTCGATGCATCTGGTCGGATTTTTCTATTTCTTGCGACAACTTTCAAAAACTGTCACAACAAGAGGACGCAAAGACGGACTGAAACACAACCTGCGGATGTTTGTTCTACATTTTTTGGGCGTTTTCAGCATCATGCAAACCTTCACAGATGTTTTCTCTGCTGAGACGCTGCTGGTGATCAGTTTGTAGCTCGTCAGGCGTCTTTGTGACTCCACCATCACCTCCTCTGACTCGTCAACCTGCTGGTCAGCGGGTCCAGGAACAAGGCGGTGAAGGTGTTTGCTTCAGCTGGAAAACAGGAGATTCTGATGCAGATCAAAGGGACGGAGATGTTGACAGAACTCGCTCTAGATCTGTTTGTTTGACCGTTTCTCTGTGTGTGTTTCAGGGTCGCCATGTCAAAACCGGGCAGCTCGCTGCCATCAAGGTCATGGACGTCACCGGAGTAAGTGTCCGTCGGCCCGTTGGACCTTCACCGTGGTCTGTGTGTGTCTTTTTGCTAACGCTGTGCTGCGTCTCGTTCTCAGGACGAGGAGGAGGAGATTAAAGCCGAGATCAACATGCTGAAGAAGTACAGCCACCACAGGAACATCGCCACCTACTACGGAGCCTTCGTCAAGAAGAATCCTCCGGGGATGGACGACCAGCTCTGGGTACCAACGTTTGTCAAAACTGATTATTGGGAACTGATATCTGGAGGCGATATACACTAAAAGTTATTATTGAATGGATGGAAGGGAAGCTGAATGAATGTATACATACAGCTGAAACCAGAAGTTTACATCCACTTTTGTTTCTCACTGTCTGACATTAAATCAGACTCAACGTTTCCTGTTTCAGGTCAGTCAGGATCACCGACATTATTTCTATTTGCTAAACACCAGAATAATGAGAGAGAGAGGGTTTTTATTACTTCCTCAAAGATGTTTACATCCACTAAGATGCCTTCAAACAGTGAGAAATAAAAGGTTTTTGTTGCCCGCTAAGGCTCAAATCTTAAGTCAGTATTAGGCTCGTCATTAGTGAGGCTGCCTCCTAACTGAGCCGCTAGCCTGTGAGCGTAGCCTTAGCCTCTGCGACAGCCGCTAACATTCTGACTTGTGCAGACGGTTGTGCTTCTTGGTCAGTTTTTGCAGGTTGTGTGTCGTGATAGAGAAGCATATTAAAGTTAATGTGACTTGAGAAAGACGTTACGGTGCTCCAGGTAGCAGCAAACCTCTTAGCAGTAGCCGTAGCCTTCCTTCCAGCTGCACCACTGTAGAACACCTCATGGGTGTTTTCCTGTAACACTATGAAGGCTTGTAGAAGACTGCAGCGTTTATTAAACCTCCTGCTGCCTCCACCTCCAAACACAGCGTCGCTAATTCATCAGCTCTGCTAATGTGCTCGTCTGTCTCTCTGTGTAAACAATGGCTCCCAGTGATTGGCTGTTTCTGGTGACATGTGACAGCCGATTGGGAGGACATCACTTGAAAAGCCAAAGTAGCGCATTTAAATCATTATGTGATAATCAGTCAATAAAAACAACGATACAGATGATCTAAAAATGACAAAATTGGTCTCAGTAATCAGTTCGGTTGTAGTTTGTTGAGCCTAAAGTCCTTCATCTCACCAGACGTTTAGATTGAAGACGCAAAGCAGTTTAGAAAGTAACTTCTGTTCGTGTGTTCATGCAGCTGGTGATGGAGTTCTGCGGCGCCGGCTCGGTGACGGATCTGATCAAAAACACCAAAGGGAACTCCCTGAAGGAGGAGTGGATCGCCTACATCTGCAGGGAGATCCTCCGGGTGAGGGCCGAATCGAGAAGCTCCGATTTGAGGGATGAGGCGCCGGAGTCCTTCTAGAAACAGACCAGAAAAAAAAAGATGTCACATGCACAGTTATAATCATATAAAACAAGTTCTATTACATATATTATACACATTATTTCATATGTCTGTTTGTTTTGAAGGCTCTCATGAAGCTAAAACAAAATACACTCCAGTCATTTCTTTAAGCTAATAACGGTGAATGTGTGTCTAAAGAAGGAACCACTGCTGGATTTTAGCTCACATATTGATTTTGTTTTATTGATATTGATCAAAGACCGCATCGGATTTTAGAGAAAGTGTGAAGAAATGTGAAGCAGTGTTTCCATTTTGTAGATATAACGTGACTCCTGTGTTGTTGCAAAGACGTTACTCTGTAGTAACACGTGCATGAAGGAACAAAAGTCCAGGTTTTGATGTATTTCTCTTGTAAAAACCATCTAAAGAAGCTGGAGTTGCATCGTTTCTCTCACTGTATGAGGCTGTAATGATCATTTTCTAGCACCAGCAGCAGTGTTTTCTGCTCCACGGAGGAGGTTTGACAGCATTGTGATGTGATTTGTGTCGGTGTGCAGGGTCTGACCCACCTGCACCAGCACAAGGTCATCCACCGAGACATCAAGGGCCAGAACGTGCTGCTGACGGAGAACGCCGAGGTCAAGCTGGGTGAGGAGACGAGCGGAGCAGAGCCGCCGATGTTCTCGCTTTAGAACGCTGTCAGACAACCAAACGACTTCCTCTCTGTGTGCTTTCAGTGGACTTCGGCGTGAGCGCTCAGCTGGACCGGACGGTGGGACGCAGGAACACCTTCATCGGGACGCCGTACTGGATGGCGCCGGAGGTGATCGCCTGCGACGAGAACCCCGATGCCACGTACGACTTCAAGGTAGCGCTCACGGGTCTGGGCCCGTCTGGGTTCAGCACATCGAGTGTCGAGGCAAAAGTAAAGCGAGCGAGTTTCAAAGTGGGAAGAATTGATGTCTCACACCGTAAAAAAATAATATTTAAAGTCTGGCAGCAGCAAAGTCTGTCATAAAGCGATGGATTACTGTAACATTAAAACAATAATAACAATAAATAATTAAGATAATTACAAATATCTGAGCTCGTCCTCCAGCGGTTTGCTGAAATAAGCAGCTGAAAACAGCAGCAGCAGCAGCAAGGGCTGATGGGTAATTTATCTGAGGGTGTTGTTCATAACTGAGCAGGTCCTCAGGTTGTGTTTGTGTGTCTGCAGAGTGATCTGTGGTCGTTGGGCATCACAGCCATCGAGATGGCCGAGGGAGCTCCACGTAAGTCCAGCAGATGTACAAGTATAGACACAGACATACATACACTATAGATACACACACATATATATATGTATACAGTATATATAGATACAGATAAACATACAGTATAGATATATATAGACATACAGTATATGTACATGTTCAACATCCAAATCACTGTTCTGACTTCTTCTCTTCGTCCCCTTTTCTCCTGCTCTTTACTACTTTATTCTCTTTTTATTTCCTTTCCTTTCCTTTCCTTTCCTTTCATGTGTTTCCTTATCTTTTGTCTATATTGTTTCCCTTTTCCTTGTCTTATTTCCTTTCATTTTTCCTTTCCTTTTCTTCGCTTCCTTTCCTTTCCCTTCCTTTGTTTCCTTTCCTTGTTTCCTTTCCTTTCCTTTCCTTTCCTTTCCTTTCCTTTCCTTTCCTTTCCTTTCACGTGTTTCCTTATCCTTTGTCTATATTGTTTCCCTTTTTCTTGTCTTATTTCCTTTCCTTTTACTTTCCTTTTGTCTTTTTCTTTCC